TATTCCTCCCATTTCAAACATTGTTTTCGTCATCTGTCGCAAAGTATTGTGACCAACAGCAACTGGAGTGAACCAGCAATCATCTCTTGGCTTACTCATTGGCTTCAAATAAAATGCATCTGATGGACAGTTTTCTGGACGCAAACGGTTATACTTTTTAAAAATTCTCACGAAACAACGCTGTGGTTTTTCTAAGTTTGCATAATGCTTCACAACTTTTGGAGTTATTTTTCTTCCCTTTAAACCTCCAGGATTGTTTTTCGAAATTTCCTCAGAGTACTCAAGGTAAGGTATTTGTCCTTCTTTCTCAATAATTTTAATCTGGCATTAATTTTTACATTAATTTTTTTGGCATTTTTACATTAATTTTTTTGGCATTTTTACATTAATTTTTTTGGCATTTTGCAATCAAAATTTTCAATAGTGAAATGTTTAGTAATACATGAGTGGACAAATTTGCCAATTAAAAGCTGGCCTAATGTATTTTTCAAGCAAAACCATCAAAATAAAGTACTGCTAAATCACACGACAGTCACATGATTTCAATTACCTGATTGAGTGACTCCAGAGTGAAGTACATGGCAGAGCAGGTGGTGGAGAGAGGCAGGTATTGCTGGGAGACTCTGTCAACTTCAGCCACTACAGTATCAGTCTCCTCCATTTTCCTCTGAACTTCTGCAGCCTCTTCCTTAAGAGTCTCAAGCTCAGTAATGATTCTAAAAATAGACATAACAAAGATTACATCATGTAATAGTTGTTACTATATTTAGATGTGTTGTTACTATTATTAGAATTGGGGGTACCTGTTGTCATCTAGGATACGACCCTTGACCTCGTTCAATGCAGTGAGGAGACTCTTCTCAAGGTGACGCAAATCAAGGAGGAACTCACCTAATGAATAATTAATGAATTAAATTATTAATAAAAGATAATTAATGTATCTTTAATTATTAAAATACTTAACCCTTTTCTCAACAGTTGATAAATCATTCTTAATAACACTAGCATCAGATATAACCATTGCATATTCTTCTTTATATCTAAGTAAAGAAAAAAATTAAAAATATAAGTTTCACTTTTAATGAATTTTGTTTTGTTCTTTACTTTGCTATAGAGGCTTCAAGTTCTGCTATTATTTTTGTTATTTCTTCTCCTTTTTGACGAGTGTCTTCAGCTTTGGTTTCCAAATCTTTCAATTCTTTACATAACCGATCAACTCTCTTCATCATATCAGCATAACTCAACTATAGGAGAGAGATAAAGGCCCCCATACACTAGGCAACATGTTGCTTGCAACATGTTGCCTAACGTATAGGGTGTAAGAAGTTGTTTCTATATGGATCCGGAACTCTCAGTGTACT